AGAAAAACTGATATACTCCTTTTTCAACAGCAGGTGGCGGTGTAAGCTTACTTTTACCGGTAGGAGTCTATGACAACTTCCTGTGAACCGTCCTGTTGACATCCGGTTGTAAGCCATTAGCTACAATGTAGCACAAGGTCGAACATGGTTCTGTAACATTTTATGGACGGGTTTAAAGCTATTAACGTGGCTTTTTTCCACAAGCACGCTTTATCTGCATGAAAACATGAGTTTTAGGAACAATGGCAGGCTTTATTTAGCGTTTTTAAACACGAAGGAGGACTCGGTTAAAACGAGCTTCATTTCCGGGGTCACGTGACTTTTTCAGACACGTGCACATCGGAGGTGGGTTTCACAATCTGACATCAGAGGGAGTGGACGCACAGAGATACGTCACCAGCTTCTCAGCGAATCAGAACGACCCAAACAGCGGTTCTCAACCAATCACAGCCCGTGTTTACCTGCTCTCAGTTAGCAGTTAGCATGAACAGTCCTGTCAAATTATCGCCCATTAAAACTTCAAAAATGCACTATTTACTGTTAAAAATGCAACGAATAGCATAAAACAGCGGTCTGAGTCGGCGCCCAGCTTTAAAACAGCTTTTCATCCATTTAAAACACGACTCGTTCAGTCCAATAAACAGAACCCGGTCGAACAGCAGAACCTCCGTTCATGCAACAGTTTCAAACAGAATAAAGCGTTTTTCCCACTGAATCCAGCTTAGTTACACAAACAGATTTACACCTTTCAGCATTAACAAGAACACATTGCAGCTTTCTGAACACCACAAGCATGACTTATGCCCCTTTTCCACCGTCACAGAGCGGATCAGATCAGTTCGGGTTGGTTCAGATCGGTTCGGGTCTGTTGTGTTTCCATTTACATTTCTGGACCGGCTCTGTAGGCGGGGACTAGAATCCAACTCGTCTTACCACCTGGTGGCGGTAGTGCTCCCTTAAGCTACTTACTAGCCACCACTAAACGTATTAGAAGAAGAACACCCTGAAGGTTTTGTCACAAGATGTTGTGGAAGAGATGTCATGCTCTAATGGAGTACCTCATGAGCTGTAACTTATAAACCTGATTCATAATCCTACCTTACTGCCTTCCCTGCTGCTTTAAACCCATGTGTTTTTCATTTTAGTGTAGATTTTTACAATAAAGATGTATTAAAAATATCTTCACTTTTATTATTTGCAGATATGCACAAGGTTCATGTTAAAATTGCAAAACATCACACTGTGCTGTAATCTTTGAAACTGCTTTTACAATAAGATACAGACTTGAAAACAATTAGGTTAAATTTTGTCCTTGAATTTTAAAGATTTGTCTTTCATTAAATTAAAACATAAATTTATTACTTATTAATCTAAAAAAGTTAAGTCTGGTCCTCTGGACATTCAAAAAACAAAACTAACAAAAAACATTTAGTTTATTTATTATGAACTGTATTGTTTGTTTTGTGAATGTCCAGAGGACCAGACTTAACTTTTTAGATTTTTCTGCCTGGATTATTGAGCAGCATCAGGATATTAATTAATAAATAGTCAGTTGGTCTGTGAACACCATGGGGTCCTAGAAGAGTTGAAGAGGAGGCTGTTGATGTCTGTGCCTCCCTGGTGAAGATGCTGCTCCCACAACCCTGAAGCAGAAGAGGATGGATGGATGGATGGATGGATGGATGGAT